AATCTGGCCATGTTATCAGCATAAAAGCATATCAGTCCTTTAAATGTTATGCTCGAGTTACTTTTGGTTCAACCATTTTTGGAGCAAATACCAATTTTAGTCTCACGAGTATTAGCAAAATGACGGTTTTGGTCCACATGTTTAATTCCTATCAATTTTCATCCACGACTATTGTTTTAGTACCAATTGTAATCCACGACTATTATTTTAGTACCAAAATTCGTCACATTGGTCACCCATCTATTTAAGACATCCCGAAATTTAAAAATTTTAAGGGCATTTTTGTCTTTTTCAACTTAAAATTCCAATTTGAGCATAAATAAATAAATTTAAGCCCTAAAATCGATCTCAATTCGCAGTTCTCCTTTTCATCAGATCTTAATTTGAGGAAGAAAACTGCGAATTGGTATAGATCTTAGGGCTTAAATTTTTTTATTCATGCTCAAATAGGAATCCTAATTTGGAAAGCATGAAACTACCATTAATAATTTAATATTTCGACATGTCTTAAACGAAGGGGTGACCAGTGTGATGAATTTTGGCACTAAAACTATAGTTGTGGATGAAAATTGGTACTAAAACCATAGTCGTGGATGAAAATTGGTAAGAATTAAATATGTGGATCAAAACTGTCATTTTGCTAATACTCGTGGGACCAAAATTGGTATTTGCTCACCATTATTGTTGAATTACTATATTATATTACATTATTACTCAAGAAGAATTTGGTTGCACTTAAAAACATTTCAATCATTTTCCAAATAAATCACCAGCTTGTAAGTCTTGTTTGAATATATATATTTTAGTCTTTATTTTGGTAGTTTGAAGTGGAAAATATAGGTTCACACGTTTCTGTGGGTCCCACGCCCTCCTACCAGGCTATCATATATTGCTTTTTTTCTTTTTCTTTTTTTTTTTTCTTTTTTTGGAAAGAACCTACCATATATTGCTAATTTTTTAAGATATTTAATCAACTTAAAAATTAAAGATGAACTTCATAACATCATAAGAGGTAGGTGAGTATGAAAAGTCATTTTTTTTTCTTTTTGAAAACAAAACTCATTTTTTTTCTTCAAAATTTCAGTTTTCCTCCATGATTACCACGTTTAGCTTGTCAATTTATTTTATTTGACTAATATTTACTTTTAAAAATATTACAAATAATAACAAAATTATACTTACCAAACATCTGCCAATAACGTTGTGGTCTAGTGACTCTCCCAAGTGAAAGGTGATGAGTTCGGTGCCCAGTGAGTAGGTTGAGAAAGTTATGAACAAATACTACACAATCATATGTAAAAATATTGTATTTTAAAATGAAAAGTGATGGTTATATTTATAATTTTTCATAAGTAGAGTGGTTGAGCATGTAATTTCTTTTTTTTTTTTTTTTTTTGAAAATACTATATTTTTTCATGCCAGCACTTTCTAAATAATAGTTGAAAAGTTATATTTTGTTTAGTACTATTAACTATGTTACAATGTAGTATCTATTTATAACTACTTTCTCAACTTACTGAAAAGTTATATAATGTCATGTACTACAATGTTGTGTGCTTTTAAAGTTATATTATATGCATTACAAGTTATTCTATTCCCTATATAACTCTGGCAAAGCACTCCATACCACTTTATAAAGCACATGATATTGTAAACTTTCCTAACAAATATTCATAATTAAGAAAATTTGGATTAAAATATTTAAAAAGAGAAAGAAATAAAATAAGATGAAGTGGTAAATGGAAAATCATGTTTGAAATTGGGAAGTCAAGTTTAGGGTGGTTGGGAGTTGAGTGCAAATGGGAAAAAGTGATAATGGGAAGAAAAAGAAAAACAGTACATTCATTTTGATCAACAAATGTGCACATAATAATTAATATTTAAAATTTCAAGGTCTAATACCTTTTTTTTTTTTTTTAGATTATATCAATTAAGAGTTAATTCCACCAAAATTCTTTTATTTTTTGTGATAATTCAAAATTTAGTTACAGATTATTATTTTTGTCATTTAACATATTAGACTATTATTTTTTGTATACTTTTACAACACGTTTGGTACACGGAATGAATTTTGAGGTAATAGGAATGCTATTCCATAAAGAATGGAATATGTAAGGAATAGACTTTAGGAATTATATTACAGTGGTTGATTGATTTAAGGAATAAAAATGATGTGTTTTAAAAGACATAAATATCCTTATAAAAATATGTGATGGTGGCGGTGGTGATATATATATATATATATATATATATATATATATATATATATATATATATAACAAAAAGGATATTTTCAGTATTAGAGTACAAAAGCTATTCTCAAATACTTGGAAATAGCTAATACCAAGGGGTTCCCTAGGAATGACTATTCCCGCTGCAAAGGGAATAGCTCATTCTCGGGAATGCTATTCCCAACCATGAAAAGGCAAATCAAACAATGGAATAGGTCTATTCCCAGGAATGGTATTCCATTCCCGACCTATTCCATGAACCAAACACGCAGTTTGTTTCTTCAAATTTTTCTTCTTTTTTTTATTGTTACTTTTTCGATTTCAACCGATTTAATTGGTTTAGGACTTTATTAAAAATCGGTTGAAAAATATAGTTACTAAAAATTTGAGGTCACCTAAAGTTCTAAACCAATTAAACCGGTTGAAACCGAAAAAATAAGAAAAGTAAAATATGAAAAGACAAAAATACCCTTACTAAAAATAGAAAAAGTCATTAGAATGACTAAAAATGTCCAAAAAATAATTATAATGACAAAAAACGATAGTTTAGGACTAAATTTGAAATTGCCACTAAATACAAGAGACCTCTAGTAGAATTAACTCTATCAATTAATCTCTATTTATACCATTAAAATTATAAATTTATAATTAATTATTTTTCTACAAACCTAATATTAATACACATAATCGTATAATATATGGTGTTTTATTTAAAAAAAAAAAAAAAAAAAAAAAAAAAAAAAAAAAAAACTTCAAATATCAATTTTCAAAATATGGGATTTTAGTTCAAAAACACTAGATGTCAATTTAGCCACATAAGTATATGCAAATCTAATTGATCTTAATTTCCATATAATAATATCTAGCTTTCAAGATTTATACCATTCTTCATTTCCATTGAATTATACATGTTGGGTCTAATCTAGGATAAGCTGGCTCACCTACTCCCCCCACTCTCAACTAATTCCACCAAAGGTCAATAAAAAAAAATAAATAAAAATAATAATAATAATAATTCCCCTCACTAAAGCTAAAGGGAAAGGAGAAAAACCTTCCTAACAGAAGTTAATTGTCTCAAGTCATCAACACAATAAAAATAAATTTCATATTTTGTGATTCAACATTTTTTTTTTTTGATAAACCATGTTTTCACCCTCACTAGACTATATCTTTCTTCTTTTTTTTTTTTTTGAAAAAGGAAACTTAATTCTTTCGATCATTGTCACTGGACTATATCTTAAATCCTACAAACTGGCCTCCCAAGCCTATGAGGATATAAATCAAACCATTTTTTTTATGACGACTCGTCATTGACGAGGAAAACCCCATAACTCTTTCAACTGTGAGTAAACCCCACCTTGTAACCCTAACCGACAAAAGATCACAAGAAAATCAAACTGATTTAGTTTCAAGATTCAACACAAGAAAATCAAACTAATTTAGTTTCAAGACTCAACGCCAAAGCTTGTCCTCCAAGCCCATGAGGATGTAAATTGAACCAATTTAGTTTCGAGACTCAACACTAAACCATCAAATTATACACTTTTGCGTACAAGGTACTAACTCAAATCATACACTTTTACGCACAAGGTACTAACTCAAATCCCATCTGAAGTAATTAAGTCTTATACGATGAGAATCGTCATTAAACCTTTTTTAACCTTACGTGTGCCCGGAAAAATAAATATACGATGTATTATATTAATATTACAATAGATGAATATATCTATTATAATAAATTACAACACCCCTAACACATGAAACCAAAAACTTTAAGAAGAGAGACAACTATCTTTACAAAGAATACTAATAATGTTTAGTGAAATGTGAATACTTCAAATTTAACATTAACTACAAAGTCAAATTGCTATCTAATATTAATTTTTTTTTTAAAAAAAAAAATCGTTCACTATTGTTGTTGGTTTTATGGCCATTCAGGAGCAAACCAACATAAAATTGTTGAAGAGATATCAAAATTGCAAAAGGGAACTCAAGAAAGTTGAAAGACTGTGAATTGTGTTAATTTGATGTGCACAAATGGACTGTTATACAATTTAAGTCACTCTTAATCTTCTATAAACGATATCTAACTTTCATAAACACAAAATTACTTTAAATATCTCTTCTTTAAACCGAGCTTCCATGCATAAATATAGAAATTAGGGAGCGTTTGGTTCATGTCATCTTAGATTAAGGCTTATTTTGCATTCCCGCGCTATTCTACCTCGAGCTTAAGGGTGCCAACATTGACAAAGAAGCCTAGTCCAATTTACCAACTCTTCTTCTCTCAAAATGTTCAATTCCCAACTCCGAAAACTCCCACACTCTGGTTTGACAAAACAGTTAAGAGGAGGTAAATCGCAGTGATTCAATAACTCAGTAGATATGGCCAAATATTAGTGCGCACAGGGAATCTGTCCACTTTGAACATAATTCTCACTCTGCCGAGTACGAACCCGTGCAGACCCCAATTTACCAACTCTATCCTATGACAAAGACTCAAGTGGCAAAATGCCATGACCAAGGAGTCAAGGACCTTGTCAAGTCGAGAATAGTCCTCTTCTACCTTACCCATCACCGGTATTATTTGACATTAGTAAGTTAAATATATATATATATATATATATATATATATATATATTAATTACACATGATTGATAAAATCTATTATACATGAATTAAATGTGATTAATTAAAGAAAAATTAAAAGTAAGGTCAAAACGGTCAAACACGGTAAGAGTGCATTATTTCCTTGCAAAGAACCTCAAATTTCACGGAAGTTATGTACGTCGTATATACTTCATACTTGACACATAACCATTGAAGAACAGCTTAGCTTGCAGATTTCAACTATAACTAAACAAAACAAATTAAATAAAACAAAAATTAAGAGAGAATTAAACAGAATTCAATTTAATTAAGTGGCGTTGGTTTTTCTTTAGGAAATTAACAATAATTACAAAAGGATTATTGTGTTCCTTCTGAGGAGTTTGGATATGGGAGGGTATAATGGGGATTTGGCTAATCTCCCCGGGAGGGGCTCCAAGGGGTCATGTCCATGGGATAGCTGCCCAGTACCCTCAAGAAGGACGTGAACTCCTGCACTTCTGCAAGCGCGTTCTGCGCCCTCACGTCCGCCATGGATGCCTCGAAGTCCACGTAGAACATGTATTCGAAATGCTTGGCGGTTCCGACGTTCTCGTCGTCGACTAGGCGGATCGGGCGGTTCCGGTGGGGGCGCGACTCGATCTTCGTCAGGCTGATGTTCCGGAAGGCGAAGGCGGAGAGGACCTTGAAGAGCACACTCGTTCCCTTGTCGTGAGCGAAAACTATGCTGGTTTTGAACGGCCGATCGGTTCTAGGGATGATCGGTTCCCGTGCGAGCATCACGAACCGGGTCACGTTGCTGGAATCGTCCTGGATTCCTTCTTCCAGGACGTGGAGGCCGTACAGATCGGCGGCGCGTGCGGACGCGATTGCGGCGGTGTCGCGGAGGTTGTTGGCCGCGATGTACTCCGCGGCGCCGGCGGTGTCGTCCACGGCCTCGCGGGCGACGTTTAGGCCGAGTTTGGTGAGAGTGAGCTCGCACTGAGCCAGTGCTTGCGGGTGGCTAATGACGCGAGTGAGGTACTCCTTGCGGACGCCGGGGAGGGCGAGGAGGCAGTGGTGGACGGGGAGCTGAACCTCGCCGACGATGTGGAGGCGGTGACGGAGGAGGAGGTCGTAGTTGCGGTGGATGGAGCCGCCGAGGGAGTTTTCAACAGGGAGGACGGCTCGGTCAGCTATCCAGAGCTCCACGGCTTGGAATGCCACTTCAAACTGGTCACAAGGTATGGCCTCACAGTTGGGATACGCCTTCCCGGCGGCGGCTTCGCTATACGCGCCGGGAACACCCTGGTAAGCGACGCGGAGCAGCGAGCCGTGCATCGGCGCCGGCGAGAGATCCGTAATCGTGAGCGGCTTAGGAAGGCTGCTCTCGATGGGGACTAGATCTAGCGTCGACGTATGGCCGTTCACGGCGGTGATATTCCCCGCATCTCCGCCGCTCTTCTGAACATCCTGCTGCTGCGACACCACCTTGCTCGCCAAAATGGAGCACGAGCTCTGCCAATCAGCTCGCGTCGCGCCGATGTGGCCACTATATCTTGTCGGCGCGCTGTTGGTGTTCACAGTAGCGCTGGAATTCGCCGCCGCGGCGCCGGCGGCGTTGGCCGAGTCAAACTTGAACACGCATTGGACCGCGAGACGATTGGAACCGACCCGGTGAGTGAAACCCGGCGGCGAAGACGCCCGGGTTAACGATTTGAGACTAATACCAGAAGATGACGTAAGGGATTGCATAGCTCAACGTGGGGACTCAAATGGAAATATGAGATAAGATCCGTTCCAAATTGGAAACTGAAAGATATAGAAAGAGAGAGGTAAAAGCTTGTTGTTCTCTGTGAAGGGAACGTCCAAGCTGAGAGAAAGAAAGAAGGCGAAGGGGTTTATATATTGCTGTGGAGAAGACTTGAGAGAATTGGTGAATGTAAGTGTGCGCAATGGTAGTTTGGTCAATCTCACACCTACCCTCTTTTGCTCTCTCCCTATATTATTACTAAAATAAAACTTATAAATCCATCCAAAATTTTTCTAAAAAAATAAAAGTTATCAAATATTGATCTAACATTTTAATATTAGGTGATTTAACACGTAAGCATTTTGTAAATTTTTTATTAATCTAATAATTAATTTTTAATTTTAAATATGACCCCTAAATCTAAAAAGAAATATCTTAAATAATAGTTTAAAATTTTTACAAAGTTAGGTAAAATTGCATCTCATGTTGTTTTATTATTATTATTATTATTTTTTGTTTGACTACAGATTTCTCATCGAGACTAATCATATTTATATCGGAGAAGACTTTAAGGGTAGCAGAGCACTCCATGATGAGTTTCAAGGTAACAGTATTTTCATGATTGAATTTGGAACTTTTGATTAATAGAGGTACGCGGGTGAATTTAATCTCATGACATTATAATTTTTTTTAAATTTAATTAATTTTAGGATATAGTTTTCTTTTTGGTATATAATCTCCTATTAAAACGCAAGAATTATATTACTTAAGAAATAGCTCACCAACTAAATTTGGTCTAATGCGTGTATCTTTGAATATACACAAAAATAAAGAAATGGAAGTAATAAAAAAAAATAGAGGGGGGGTTGGTGTGGGAGAAAGGAGTGGTAGGAAGAATGCATGAGGGAGCTGTCGGCTGGGCTGGCTGCTGTATTTTGTTGTTGAGGACCACAAAACCCAAGTTGGAGCTGTTGTCACGCACACTTACCCTGTGGCCTTCGCTACTTCTCTCATGTTATAACGATTAGGTATTGCCTGAATATGTACACTCACTTGCTGGATATGTGTTCCCGTTATCAAGTCAATTATGCGATCAATTTATATCGCAACCACCACTTTTTTTTTTTTTGAATATTATTAACTCTATTGCAATGTAATATCTGTTCATAATTACTTTCTCAACTAAATGATGTACAAAGTAAAGAGCTAATATCACACTGAAAATCGGACCCACAACTTTTCCTATAAGGGAGTAATTAAACTTGTTACTATTAGACCACAAGTGTGTATTAGATAAATTGCATCATTGTGTAATAACTCATAAATCATATAAGAAAAATAAAGTGAAAACTGTACATTTTTAGAAAAAAAAAAAAAAAAAAAACACTTAAGTGATCTCAGATTCACTAAACTAATCATAACCTTAAAAGACAGGGCCCCTAAAGCCATTGCAGAAAACTATACATTCTTGTATTTACGGTTGGGAAGCATAATGCTCTCTATCCCATTTTATAATCCTATATAATATTCATTAGACAAACTAATTTTTTTTTTATTTGTATATTATCTTTTTTTTTTTTACTTTTCAAATTTGGGTTTTTCTATTTCATAAAACTTTTATCTATTAACATTAAGTTACATATTATAAAAAAAAAAAAAATTGTAAATAGTTTGAATCAAGAGCAATTATCTATATAAGATTTACGTTTTTGGACAGAGTAATATATAACTCATGAGAGATTGAGAGTGTTGATGAGGTGGTGTAAGTATTAAGAAAGATCGTTCTGTCACTCTTAGTCCTACAAAGTACACAAAATGATTAGTTTTGATATATGATCTTATATAATTGGTTTAGGAAATCTTGACTTGAACCGGTAACTTTTGACAATCTAGGTTACTTTACTTTCTTGTGGTCCTTTATCTGCTAAAATTAAAAGACATGTTTGTTCATAAGACACTTTCAAATAACAACAGTAAACTTTTTTGTAAATCAAAGGTTTAGGAAATCTAGCTTTAACTAGATATAAAAAGTTGGTTATTTAAGGTGAGTAAATATTAGTGTAGGTAAAATGTTGAATATTTTAAGAACTTTTCTCTTAAAAAAAAAAAAAAAAAAAAAAACTAAAAACTGGTGGTTTGTTTGGTGGATATAGAAAACAGAAAAGCACATTACTTTATGTAGCAGGACTGCAGTGATACTTTAGAGCTGTAGAATTGACTCCAACATGTACTGGTAGTTATACGTATATATCATGTGTATACGGGTAGTTATACGTATGTATCATGTGCCACACCACTCACAAGTATTCATCAATTTTACTGAACCCTAATAAATAAATAAAACTATCATCCATAGGTGTAGGAAAATGAGTTAATTCTAGATACACTAATCTTTTCATATTAAGTCTTAAACTTTTATTTCCTTCTAATTTTAACCTTTTTCTTGGCCAAGGATCTTGTAGTCCAATGGCACCAAGTTGCTCCCTCGAGGTTGTAGGATCGAGCTTCAGTGGATGCGATATTGACTCTTTGTGCTTCAATAGATTGAAAAATAGTTATGAACTACATTGTAATAGAGCCAGTAATATCAAAAAAAAAAAAAAAAAAAAGACTTTAGCAAAAAAAGACATGTAATCAATTTTATAATTAAATATTTATAAAACTGATCCAATCATTTTTTTTCTCTTATTTTTCAGCAACCCTCTATTATTGATCTATTCAAATGGATTAATCATATCGGCCATCACTTTTTACATACTGTGTGTGTGATTTTTATTTTTTTTTAAAAAGAAAATTCTTTATATTTTTTTTTTTGTTAGAGTAAATACCCAAAATGGTCCCTCGACTATAGCTAAATTCACAAATTGGTCCTCGACTTTCAATTTCAACCAATTAAGTCCTTAACTTTGCAATTTTAACACAATTTGGTCCTTTGTCTATTTGACCATTTGTTGACTGTGATTTTTGAGGATATATATATATATATAATTTCATGGTCCACCGTCGGGTTTTTAAGGTTCCGGTTGCATTTCCAGATCGCACTGTTACATTTGAATCCACTGCCGAAAGCAATCTACCAAATTCTGTCACCTTTCTTCATCCTCCCTTTGGATTCAATGTAGTTGAGTTCGTACCAGAGCAAAGACGACGACGTGTTTCCGAACCGGTGCAACGTCATCCTGGAGGCCTCCACGTGCTCCGACGAGAGCTGAAGGTTCTTCTGGAGATCGTCGATCACGGTCAACAAATGGTCAAATAGATGGAGGATCAAATCGTGTCAAAATTGCAAAGTTAAGGACTTAATTGGTTGAAATTGAAAGTCGATGACCAATTTGTGAATTTAGCTATAGTCGAAGGACCATTTTAGGTATTTACTCTTTTTGTTACAACATCTCGTAATTTCATAAATATAAAAGTAATTCGAATTTAGTTCAAATTACATCCACAGGATTTAATTTTTAACAATTACATTAGTTGTTCACTTACCAACTATTCTAAACTGCTGGCTTAACAAATTTTGTTTGAATTCTTTATAATTATCAATTATCAATTTAACCACCATTGAATTGTTTGTTTAGGATAGGGAATCCCCGTTCATAAATATTCCACTGCAGAGACTGGGATATAATTTTATCCCATCTCTGGGGGTGGAATATGCCCTGCATCATACATTTTCCCCCAACTATGATTCTATGAAGCCTCACCTTCCTAGCTAGCAGTCTAGCACCTCTTCTAGAAAATGTAATCCATTTGTTGACCCAAAAATATGTACAAGCACAAAACAGGCAACAAATAAGAACACACACATTTATATAGTTTCATATGATTAATTTAGAGTCAAACATATATGTCTTCCGGAAACATAATTGAGCAACTGATTTCTTGACAAATATGGCAACCTAACTGAGCAATACTTGGAAAGAAGTGGTGTAGGGGTGTTTGGTAAATTGCTATTAGCTGATTGGGTTAGTGAGTTTGACTAATTGATAGCATTAGTTGATTGTAGACAAGTGTTTGGTAAATTAATAGTTAGCTGATAACTGATTAATTACATGCAAAATGACTTTCTCATAAAGCTAATCAAAAAAAAAGATGCTTTGAACAGCTTTTTAAATTTTAACATTTTGGAGCAATAAACTGTTACAAAAAAGCTAATTAATCAAACACTCATATTGATTATTTAACTTAGTCAAACAGATAATACTGATCAAATAAATCAAAATTAACTAATAAGCTAATTATGTTACCAAACAGATTATAGCCTCCACCAAGGATGATGAGAGATCGAGTGAGAGACTGATTGAGAGTGATTTTTCAAGATTGGTTAGACATTATAAATAAGTACAATTAATGAATGGGAAAAAAAAAAATCATAAGGCATGTCCTTCTATTTAATGGATTACTGAATCACCATGATCTATCCCTCCACTATTTTGTTGAGTTGGAATGTGCGGGGCATGAAAGCGAGGAAATTTCACCTGGACAAAAAATTATTATAATGCTTTTTTGTAAGTTATTTTATTTAATATAAAAATTTGGTATTAAATGGTTGTTTTATGAGATAAAACCCTTCATTAAAAGTTTTATGGCTTGTTTGGTTGGGCGTAATTTGGCTGTAGTTGAATTGCAATTCAGTGAAAGTTACAATTACGCTGTTTGGTTGGAGGAAATTGCAATTTCGTAGAATTGCAATTCCCTCCTTTTGCTGAATTGCAATTCATGGGCACCCCCCTATGAATTGCAATTCGGTGGTTGTAGGAAAAGGAAAAATGAATGAAATGACAAAAGTACCCTTAATTATTATTACCATTATTATTACACAAGGACATTTTAGTCTTTATATCACTTCTTTTATTCCCTATCCAATAATTCTATTCATCCCTACCAAACAATATAATTTGAATTCCTACTTTATTCCTACATTATTCTTTTCTCACCGAATTACAATTCCTTTTCACGCTAATTCCTTACTCCCAACCAAACGCCCTGTTAGTATCCAGAAACTAGGAATTTTCTTTATTTTTTCTGCACACATAACATTAAGTTGCGTAGAAATTGCCAAGCATCAACATTCAACAGACAGTAAATTGAGTTAGTTTCCCTGCAAATTCGGTAGTTGAAACGAGGAACTTTCTACACTCTAACTATTACCAACTTGCAAATTGCAATTTAACTATTTAAGCAACAATCCATCACGTGACAACGAG